ATCGGAAAGCTGCAAAAAGATTGCCGAATCGAAAAATATTGTTATCGTCTTTTCACAGGGACAGGGATCCAGCAATATTTTTTCGCGACAAAAAACGTTCCAAACAATAGTATTACAATTTTATGCAGGTTTTGTTTGGTATTTTTCTACTTGTGAAGTTTTATTTATTTTATTATAATTTATGTTCTATTTTCTGCAAGATTCATATTAATTGTTTCTAATTTGCTTATTAATCATTTTACCTCATTTTCTGTTTTTTTTTAAATTAAAATTGTACTCCTATTAGTTATCTATATCTGTTCTCTAATCTTTACAATAACTCAGATAGTGTTGATATCTCCATAGAGCTGATTTTTTAACCTCGAATTCAGTAGGTATTACAATATTCACTACCATAATATATTATTCTACAAACCACCTGTTTTCATACCTAATCGTTCCTTCTTGCACTTTTCCGGAAGGATATCGCTTCTCATTTTCTAAACGACTCTCACTTTCTTTATAGCGGGCCATGCAAGCTTTTGCTATATTAAAAAGAGTATCTACCTATCTGCTATTTTCATGATCAAATCATCAGGATAAGTGGTATGTTTTCATTCAATAATTTTGTTCAGAGTGTCGCTGAAAAAATTAATAAGCTTTGATCAAACCATCACTTATAGTTTTTTTCACATGTCACTTTTACTGATTCCAAATTCCATTCGATCTTGATGGACGCTTTTAATCCAAGTTTAGTTGAAACTTCACCTAATCTCATTGAAATTATTAGTTTAAATCATTGCATCTTCTGCTAGCAACTGGAAGTGTCTCACACTATTGATTCCAATTGCTCTTTCTGAAAATCGGCGTACCTACGTGGCTGCTCGTAGCACTAGCTGATGTAAGTGAATATAAAGAATCTGAATCTATTACCTGATTCTACCATACCAGCCAAAATTCTAATTTTTTTACGGGTCTTTCCATATAACGCAAAATTTTATTTGTAAATCAAGTGTCGTAAAATCCTATATAGCAAACAATAAAGAGTGCAGTAAAATTTAAGTTTAGTTTAGTTTGGAAAAAAAAAACGGCTATAAATTCCAGTTTCAAAAATTGAGTGCGCCCCATACGCAGAAAAGCGTAAAATAAAATAAAAAGTTTTACTGAATCCATAAAAACTTAGACCTATTGCACGTCTAGGTGTATATACAAGAGCAATATTTTCCACGGATAGATGGGATTTTATGACGAAATAAAGAATTCTGTCTCAAAATTACATTCCATAAAGTTTACGCGAGCGCGTGTATTTCATAGAAATCTACGATATTTTGCAATATGTAAGCCCGTGATCAAATTGACTATAGTTTCCTGAAAGATTAAATTGGAAACTCGCAAAATGATGAAATTCTCCACTTCTTTGTACAATTTTAATTTGCGCAAGAACTAATTATTTTTTCCGCAAACTTCAAAGAATGTCGACTTTTATAACCTCAATTCTTAATGTTGAAGTTTGACTTCACAGACGTCATTATTTTGTTACTTTTTTGTCCGGCCGTTCCGTGAGCGTACAAAAAGTGTACTTTTTGGTACGCCCTATATATATACGCCATGGTATAGTTTTGTTCCACCTAAGGTAGTTTATTTGACTTCTCATGAGTGATTCAAAATTGTCGAGGCTCGTGTTCTGAATATTGGCGATCTTAACATAAAGCTTTTCTGATATAATTTGGTTGTCTTTCTTTTTACAAAAATGCTGTGTTATTATTCCTGCTAATTTTGATTTTGGTTCTACCGTTACCTCAAAATTTATCAGATTAAACGTCATTAATTTTGTTTTTATTGCCCTATCATAAGATATTTTTATTTATCACATGCGCCTGTGGTTTATTAGAGGACTTTCGAAATTTCAGCCTTTAGTATAGGTATACATGAAATATCATAACTTATTAATAAAGTATTGTCACGGCTATAGGGTGCGTCACAGAAATCTTGGGTCCGTTTATTCCAAAATCAAAGTCCAATTAACACAACAATAATTTTTTTCTCCAAACGTCAAAAAAACGCCACTTTGTTAATCTCTGTCAAGATGTCAGAAATTTAATTTCTATGCTGGTAGGCAAATCCAGCAGGTTAACACCTGTCGAGGTGGTAGAAATTTAATTTCTATGCTGCTTGGCAACCCCAGCGGCAGCAAAAGTACTTTTAGTGCCGCTCGTACTTTTACTGCCGCTTAACAATTCAGTTACCCCCGAGCTTACCCCATTTGTTTGGAGAAAAAATAGCGTGTTGCAGACGGAGCAGACGGAGCAAGCCTCACTACGTTCGGCTCGCAAACCTTCTGCTTCAGCACAAAAAAGTAAAGCTTCTACTCCTAATACAACAATATACTAATTCCACGTTACTACACACTCTGACACTAATTACTTCACGAATTAACTCAAACAACTTAACTCTTTACAACTCAACCATATTCACTATCTAAATCATATCACAGCCAATCTCAAAACTTAAAAGCTTCTAACTAATACCGGCCTTTATATATCCGTAATCCATTCTTGTAACATCCAGAATGAACGTGATAGCCTCCTTTCTTGAACAAGGCAGTATTTTCTGGAATTTTAGGCATGGATTCTGTATACCCTGGCGAAAGCGCACCGTCACACTGCTCTCCTCTTAATGTTTATCATCCCAATCAACTTCACACCCATGATATTTCGTCAATCTCTTCAGATGTACAACTTCCATCTTACTCCTGGTGTTGCGCTGAACTCGATAAACCAAATCAATAATCCTCTTGATTAATTTGTAGGGTCCCTCCCATGCTGAAGACAATTTGGGCGACACTCCTTTCTTTTTTATTGGATTATACAGCCACATTAAATCACCTTCTTCAAATCCGGCTGAATTGGCTTTCAAGTCGTATCTGGTCTTCATTCGGTCACTGGCCAGCTGAATATGCTCCCGAGCAAAATCATGTATCCCCAGAAGTCGTGCCCTTACTTCATCCGCATAATCTCGAATCTTCTTCTTCTTCAGGCATTCCAAACATCAGATCGCAAGGTAATCTGAGTTCCCTTCCCAAAAAGATTCTAGCTGGACTTTCACCTGTTGACTCGTGAACAGCTTCTCTGTAAGCCATTAAAAATAGAGGCGAATGTTTGTCCCAATCTCGCTGGTGTTTTGCGACCACTTTTGTCAGATGTTCCTCTATGGTCCTATTGAATCGTTTTACCATGCCATCAGACTGTGGATGTAAAGGTGAGGTCCTTGTCTTACGAATACCCAGTAAAAACGTTCTCGAATTTTCTCCAAAGTCTTGTTAACTCCAAAATGTGCCCCTGAGGTTCCGTCATGTATTTCTTTTGATACATCTTCTACTCAATCTTTTAGAATAACTAGTTGACTCTTCATAGTTTTCCCATCGGCACTTTCCTAAACTCTTTTCAGTAAACCATTTTCTATGGCCAGAGAATTCCACTGACTTCCACAACGCTTTATAAATCAAACTCTCGTTTGACACATCCCTCCATTCTCGCCTACCTTTATTAATTTCTTTTAGATGAAGAATTTGCCCAATGTCCTGGTCTGCTTCTTGATCTTCTCTCATTTGTTTGGTAGTCCATTTATCTTTAACGATAATACCCGTTCTTCTCACAGCTGGAACAGTATTTTCCTCATATCAGGCATATCGATTCTTTGGCGAAGCTTGCAGTTTTCGTTGCATAGTCGTCTAGACAGAGCGTCAGCATTTTCATGCAGGTTTCCAAGTCGATGTCTAGATCTCCAAAAGCGTTGGGAACGATCCCTAGATGGAGAGGACATCCGTAGCCTACAATCCCATTGCATATGTTCAAGTTTATGGCACCGGTAACACTCTACTCGGTTTCTAGGTGTTAGTGTTTGTTTGGAGTCGTTTCCCATTTGTCTAACTTCTAGTATTAGTTTCTTCATAATCTCCATGAACTTATAAGATTCTCGAAGCTAATATCTTCTTTTGAGGATTGTTAATCCTTTGGGTCTTCAATGTACACTGCTCGTATTCTAGGTCGTGAGGCACCAAAGATTGTTTCCAGTTCTAATGCTCGGACAAGGGCTTCGCTACTTTTTCTGAACTTGAACATCCTCAGGTGTTCCTGGATCTTGGAATCTCTGAGACCATCAATAAACGCAGATACTGCCATCCATTCCCAACCAGCAATTTTAGTCGCCGCTACGTATCCTCGACTACAAAGAGAACTTTAAAGTTGGTGTTACTAGTATCGGGGACCGTTTAGGCACTGTTTCTTCACCACGTTGTTACCAAAATGGGTAATGATATTGCAGGAACGTTTACGTACCTGCATCGTCCTCGGAACTGTAAATTTATGTCCCGAGACCATTTCGGAAACGATGTGAAACCGTAAATGTGTGGTAATACCAACCAAAATGGGACTTTTTCCCATGCGCCTTCAACCATGGAGATGTTTATTTGATTTGTCTCTCTCTTCCAACTAAAATTATGTATATTGTGTTTCCGTCCATTCAGCCAGTACTTTAACTTCACAATATGTCAACCTATAATATTTTGTTTATTTGATCATTATTACGTACCTATAGGAATATTGAAAGGCTTTGATTTTCGTACCCCAGCAGCTAAAACCCAAACGCGTGAAATTTTAAACTGTAAAATCCAGAATAAACGCGATAGCCTCCTTTCTTGAACAACGCAGTATTTTCTGGAATTTTAGGCATGGATTCTGTATACCCTGGCGAAAGCGCACCGTCACAGTATTAATATATTTAGGTGCGACTGAATAATTGAATAAGAATACTTAGCAACTAGTATCTTGTATAAACGTAGCTGGATAGAAAATTGTGTAAATGCAAATGATCTATTAGATGCAAATCATAATATATTTGTGGGCGTAGCGCAAAGTTAAATTTGTAGTTTAAACCTCTTTGTCTTCCATAGAAGATATTATTCCACTATTAGCTGTAGGTATTATAGCACACGATTATTAAAAATAAATTTTTTATTTCAGGTTGCATGGGTCCGATCGGAGGACCAAACCATATTAAGCCTACATACCAAAGTGGTGACTCACAACAGCAGGATTGGGGTCACCCACGACAACATGAGCACTTGGCAGCTACGTATCAGGCAGCTGAAAGAGTCCGATCGAGGATGTTACATGTGTCAGATTAACACTGCTGTAATGAAAATTGCTGAAGGATGTTTGGATGTTTATGGTGAGTAGTAATAAATCACTAGGGTTAAAGACTGATGCTGAATTTTTTACCTTGTGGTCTGATGCGCTACCATTGATCCAAATCCCGATTTATAACCTCAAGGTTGAGCTGTGCCGTTCAAAATTCCGTTTTCCATTCAAAATAAATTGCGCAAAAATTCAACAAGCATTTTCAACCTGCATTCGATTTCTGCTTTCATACTTTCCAGGCAAAAACTATTGAGAACTCGTTTTCGCTCACCGACAATAGTTTCTTCATAGAGTTTCGTTAGTATTTCTTATCTCACTTAACTGTCTAACTAAACAAAAATGTAACAGCTAACCAAAATCCGTTTTTAGCGGCTCCAATGTGTTTATTCCTAATGAACCATTCGTGTTTCCTCGAAGTCCCTTAGCCTGTAACGTAAAGGCTGAGTCGGGTCAATTGGGGTATTTATCTAAGCAGCAAGGGATTGAGGGTCAACTGGACAAACCGCAATCCGCAAATTGTTCCAAGTGCTAGGGATGTAATAATTATAGCTGTTTTGGCAACCATCTCGTACTCTTTACCTCTGTTTCTAGTTCCTACAAGTAGCCGTTTCTATAATAAATGAATAGTTGATCTGGGTGTTGGAATCTAATTTATTAAAAACGTAGTATGCATATTCACTCTTCGTGAGTGATTGATTCCTTACATATTTTGCTTCAATTTATGCAGCAAAACATGTCGTGTGAGTGTAAAAAAAGGTGTTCAAAAGTATCGCATGTTGCTAAATATTCTTTACTGTTTTTTTAATTTAGAAAAACAATTAATTTAAAGTTTTATACATTTGTCTGTGACAATATTTACCCCTAACCTCTCTATTTTTTCAATTCAAATAGAAATCTACCTCGTTAAAAACATTGTCGGAAATCGAGCGTAAAAAAAACTTACATCATGTGTCCTGTTTAGCTTTAACTGACTTGTTTTTTTTTTATGTAGATAGTTACCCAAATTCAAGTGTATTACGGCAATTCTAAATATAAACCTACATAGCCAGCTTCTTTAATTTATTGCCTAATTTTCATTTAAAAAGTTGAATAAATAAGCACTTTATATATAGTATTCGAGTCCCATCTTGAATAGTATTGCTTTGCAAAATATCTTGAGAAATATCAGGTAATGTGTAAAAGTGAAGAAAGTATCTCTCGACTTTGAAGAAACTCCCAACAAGAGTCCTCAAGCCATAAAAAAAAAAACAGAATAATTAAGGATAGTCATGCTACCGATTTGGACGGAGGACGGAAGGAGCATTTTAAACGAACTATTCAGTGTAATTAAAGTCCACTTTCCATACCGTCACATAGAAACCAGAAAAAACTGCAACTAGTAAAAACTACGGAGAGTGACTAAGAAATACAAAGCTTAGTCATCGGAAATAAGGAAGCCAACTCACGAAGACCTAGAATCCAGTGCACCGAATGTAAGAATATAAGTGACTCTAAAGATGAATGTAGGAAGCTTGAGGGAATAAATGAAAACCAACAGGCAGAAGACCCAAACTTGCCTGTTATGGTTGTGGAAAAGTAGGATTTATCAGAAACAACTGCCCTGAATGCAAATTAAAGTCAGCATCTAGCGCAAGCACTTTGAGTGCTGAATTTTTGTGCCAAATTATTGCAAAAGAATAACAAGGACGACCCTTGATATCCATTAGCGTTCTTAATAAACAAGGTTCAGCATTGGTGGATACTGGCGCTAAATATAATGTAGCCATTGCTACACTGAGAAAAATATTTTTAGAAAATAATAAACCTTACCAGTTACAGCTCTTACTTATGACACTTGCAGATGGAATGGAGGAACTTGTAAAGGGCTATGTTTTCTATGATATTGATGTAACATTAGAGTACAAAACAGTAACTACCAGCTTCGCATCCGTTGAAGAACATGAAAATAGCCGTACACTTTTCGGATTGGACTTTATTAAAGCAGCTCACATAATGCTAGACCTCTCAAATTTCCAGTGGAAATTTAAGGACCAATTGGAACATACATATGACTTTGTTCCTGAAAATGACTTTTCTATGCCCTGCGCCATAGTAGAAACGCATTGTGAATTCCATTTGAGATCTGATGAAGAAACAAATCTCAATGAAACAGAACGTATCAACTTTGACAAGCTCAACGCAAATTTTTTTGCATTAAACACTGAAATCACCCTGTATTCTAAACACATTATTAACTTAACACTTTCACGACCACGCGTCACACATATGTGACAAGCAGTTTTTGCCAGGAACTGATGTCACACAAGTGTGACAATGACCCTACAATGATTGAATGCAAATAACTTCCGGGCGGTTCAACGGCGACAGATGTGTTTTGGCATCAGTTTCTAGTACTGTTTGGCACACATTTGTGTCGCATGGTTTCAGGATTGGATAATCTGTTTCAGTCATAAGCTTGTGGCAGCTGTGGTTCATATCTCGATTCATATCGTCTCCCAACTAATGCGGATTTCTGTTGTTTCTAGACTCTCCTACTGGAGTTTGACGTTACAAGGTAACACTCACTGGATATTGAACAATAATTATCGCTTATACAGCGTAGCCGAGAGTCTAGAACAGCTAACAGTTTATGTCACACATGTGTGTCGCACGGTTTGCCATCGTAACAATTGGTAAATTTTAATGGAAAACTTATCGGCATCCGATGTCACATACATATATGTGACATTGAATTTTATTACAAAAAATATATAACAAAACACATATAACCTGTAAAAAATATATAATTTCTGTCAAAAGTTATGCTACCCAAAAAACCGCGGTTGGTTTCGAGATTCGTCAAATTTCATAATAGCGGTCGTGAAAGTGTTAACAGAGGACTCACCTATATACCTATATGTATATGTACCACCTTATCGAATGTCAGAGCCCAAAAAAGAGGTCTTGCGCAAGAACTAGACAAATTACTTCAAAATGATTTTATAGAAGAGTGTGAGTCAGCTTATGCTTCACCAGTGGTATTGGTACCAAAGAAAAATGGAGAAACTAGCCTCTGCGTTGACTACCAGCGCCTAAATTCCATTATGCAGCCTGATCGAAATCCACTGCCACGCTTAGACGACATGCTCTATATGGCCAATCGCACTCTATACATAGCCACACTGGATCTGAAGTCTGGTTACCATCAAATAAGTTTGCGACCTGCTGATAGGGACAAAACGGCTTTTATAACTCATTTTGGCTTATTTCGTTATAAAGTGATGCCATTTGGGTTACGAAATGCGCCTTCAACTTTTCAGAGGCTAATCGACCGTTTTTGCTCTGGATTACAGGACAAAGCAATTCTTGCTTACCTTGATGATATTATTATCCTATCAGAAACTTTAGAACAACACTTACGAGATTTACAGAGAACATTTGACCGCTTAAAAGAATTTAAACTTCACCTTAACAGGAGTAAATGCAGCAAGTAATCAAGTGCATTATTTGGGTCATGTTATTACACCCCAAGACATTATTCCTATTCTCAGTAAAACTGAAACTATTCGACAAATGAAATCACCTAAAAATATTAAGCAGTTACTTACCTTTTTACAGACGTGCTCATGGTTTAGGCGACTCATTGCCAAATTTGCAGAGATTGCCCGAACATTAACCGAACTTACCAAGAAAAAGGCTGAATGGAATTGGGGATCCAGACAAGAAGATGCCTACAGTAACTTAAAAGAGTTACTCACCAGCCGGCCCATCCTCAAACAAGCAGACCCTACCTTACCATACATTTTACGAACGGATGCAAGTTCATATGCAATAGGAGCAGGGGGAAGGAATTGACGCACGACTAGTTGAGTATGCCAGCAGGTTGCTTACAGCTGCAGAAAGAAACTATGCAACTACGGAGAGAGAAGCACTAGCTGTAATTTGGTCCGTTGAGAAGTTCCGTTAAAAGTGACTATCAGCCCCTAAAATGGTTGCTCTCCATAAAGTCGCCCAGTGGAAGACTTGCTAGATGGGCCCTGATCACCTAAAAATTATGATCTAAAAATTGAATACATACCAGGACGATCCATTGTTATAGCGGACACCTTGTCACGCCCCCCTATCGATGAAACTGATATCTAAAAATTGTTGACTGAAATTGTACCTACGATTTCTGCAAAAATTTCGATTTCTTTGAATCGATTATTAATTAGAGACTTTATTAACTAGGAACTTTTTTTTTTCTTTATAGTTAGGCCTACTTTCATATACTTTGGAATGATTCTCCTTGATGTTGATTTCTTGTGAATGATTGGAGAGTTTTTTTATAGGTGATGAATAATTCTCAGGTGTTTATCGACTTTTTTAGTTTGGGAAAAAAATTCCGAGCGCTTAAAAGAGCTGTCAAAATCTTATTCAATATTAATGTTATTAACAGTATCATCAGTCATCATATTATTATATCATAAATGAATTCCTATCTTTTGTTACAGTGCCACCTGATATTATTAACGAAGACACGAGCGGCGATCTATCTGTCTCGGAGGGTGACAACGCAACCCTTTGGTGCAAAGCCACTGGTCATCCGACGCCCCGGATAGTGTGGAAAAGGGAAGATGGACAATCGATTGTACTTAGGAAAGGCCCCAGGGAGTACGCCAAAGGTAATGGCTTGTTTGTCACTTTGTCAATTTATATTTGCACAATTCACTGTTGAGTATAGAGGGAAAGGGAGAGCGTATAATTCGATATGTGACATATTGGTAATTTGGAACCTGGCTCAATATTTTGTATTCACGTGTTCTATGCATATTATTTATTTATTGCGCGATTTACATTATAACGTGGAAAATAAGATAAACATATTGTAATTAATATGCGAAGCGAAATCTTCGAAAATAGGCTTCAATAAAAAAGAAATTAACATGATATTGAATGACATTCGTAGACAAAAATATTGACAACTAACACAAAGTACTTAAAAGTTATACATACCAATACAAAATATAGGTATAGTAGTTACATTCTCCTCTTCATTTTATATTAAAACTTTTTCGATAGGCGGAAGTTTTTCTTTGTCCAGTATTTTTCCTCGAACTTTCAGGAATTTCGTTTCGAAATTTTTTGAATTTATGACCCACCTTGATCAAAATGAATAAAGTCAGACATGACAGATTTCCTCCGAAAAATGAGGAATGAATTTGGAATAGTGACATTAGCTTTTTTTAGCGATTGGGAGTTTTGAGGTACTAGCAGTTTTTTTAAAACTTCAAGTCTTTATCGAAAAAGTTTGATAGATTTTTGTGAATAAAAACTTTTCCTTTATATCTTGCATGCAATTATTTCCATTATTCTTTGACTGCGAAAAAAAATCTTCGAAACTGATATAAATTTGTATCTGTTTCAAAGGCTGTGAAATAGATCACGTCACCTCGTGTTGGTATGGACTTTGTTTGTGCTAAAAATACAGTTTTGCAACAATACGAACTACAACTTCAACTGTGGGAAAAGAATAAACATCTAAAAATGTTAACTTGTTTATTGTTTGGAAATAGGCGATGACTATTCTTTTCTTGTGGTTTTCACTTTTTGTAATCAATACCTGACCGCGTCAGGGCGAGATATTTTCTTCTATGATTCCATGCAATATATTGTTGATACACTTTTTCCTTAAGGTAGCCCCAAAGAAAAAAAAATCACATGGGGTTAAGTCCGGCAAGTACGGGAGCCCCCCGATCCGATGTCACCACGCAAAGAGAGAACATGCCCAGGAAACATTTATCTGAGAATTGCAATTTTATGACCAGCTATGTGGGCTGCTCCATCTTGTTGAAACCATACACACATGTACTTGTCCATGTTCACCGAAAGAAGCAGCCACTCTAGACCGTAGAAAGTTCTCTAGCATCACACAATACCGATCTGCGATTACCGTAACAGTAGCACCGTTTTCTTCAAAAAAGTATGCATCTCACAAAACAAATTCAGAAATGGCACACCAAACTGTAACCTTAGGGCTATGAAGTGGCCACTCGTGAAGTTCCCTAGGGTTATTTTCAGACCAGTAGCTGCAGTTTTGTTTGTTGACCTCGTCCGAAAGGTGGAAATGTGCCTCATCACTAAAGATCAAAACGACCATGTGAGGAAGATTGCGAAGTTCTTGACACAAAGTGGTCCGGGTTTCACGGTCTCTTTCGCGTGATTTGATAACCGCAAGGCAGTCTCGTATTTACGTGCAGAGCGCCTCGGAGATTTGCTGAATTGCCGCTCTCATAGCGGCTTTATTTGCTGATCCTGTCGCTGTCCGAGGTTGACCAGGAGGTTTTCTTTTTGATGCCGATCCTGTTTCTCGAAAGTGTGACACATATTTACCAATTGTCTTTCTATGGGGAACCGGATTATGTCGCTCGAGCTCAAAGTGAATGCGAAAGGCTCGCTGAGTCATTATCGGCGAACCGCAATTTCGAATAAACTCTTCAACGATGAAAGTGTGGTGCTGTTCTGATCAAGCCATGATTTACACTAAACATGGCATGAATACACACGTTGAATGATATACCCCCCACTGCGCTGCCCCCACCATAGCCACAGCTAGACGGTTTCCAAATTGGGGAGCTCTTTCTGCCCCACCCCGTAAAAGACATCTTATTTCATTAGATATAAATTTGGACCCTTCTCCCGAAAATTCAAAATTGTCGAGACTTAGTGGCAATAGGTCTACCATCATCACTGATAAGTTTAAAAATAGTGTAAGAGATTATATATTCAGATGAGCTAGATAACTACATCAGCACATAAATAATGAAGAACATAGAAACGAATAATTGGGTGCAGGTGATGTTGTATTTTTGAATTTGCGAAACAGTGGCCATAATATATTGAAGATTTTATTGTTGTAGATGCTATTAGTATATCACCTGAACTTAATCTTGTTATATGAGGCAAAGTTTTTGTATGTTCCAAAGCTTCCAGTAGGTATCTATTGTAGCGTCAGCAGAAGTTCCATTAATTTTCAAATCAGCAGCAAGAGATTTGGAATTTGAACCAGTAGAGGCCACTATCATTGAGGCTGCTGATAAAGGTTTTATCTCTTGCTTTGACATAGTAATCATATTTGCCATACTCGGAGCAAATGGAATCTTTACCTGGACTGAACTGTGGATGTTTTTTAGTAGATCCGTAACCTAATCTAATCTTAACGTTTTTTGGATTGATGGAGTATAAGCTTCTGAACGCTTTTGCGCAGATTCTAGTGATTTGGCTTTGTTAACAGTTTCTTCTTATGTTAAGGTATTATTCTCTAACAAACGCTGTCTGATATGCATAGAAGTTATTCCAGAAATCAAAGAAACTCTTACGTAGTCATCACGATTTTTAACTGAAAAAACAGCTCCAAAATTATTACAGCTTATTGCTTTAAGTTAAGTAAATACTGATCTGAGTTTTCGCCAAATTGCTGCTTTTTATATATAGTCATAACATTAGGCCTCGCAAATATTTACTCGCATTTTAAGGTTTCAGTTTTTTATCATCCCTTATTCCTTGAAATATTCAGTAGCTCAATGGCTCTTAGAAGTAACAAACTATTTATTACTTTGCTTTGCCCATATCAGTAGCTCCATTTATCTTGAAGTGAAAGCAAACTTTCTTGGGACCAATTTGTCATCTATTAAACGTTGCAAACAAGGTTCTGCCTATTTTATTTACCGAGACGCCTATTTTACATTCTTTCACTATTTTTAAATCATCACCATCATATACCTATAGGTATACACGTTCATATTAATTCTAAAATACCAAGATATAGAGTATAATAATTGAATGTAATACTTATAACCTTTTATATTTGTCTTTGTTCATATACCGGGTCTATATTGACTTCATCTGATGGCGAGCGCCTAATTGCAAAACTTTATAGAACGCACACATCCAGAAAACCTATAATTAGATTTTACTTTCAGAATACACACATATTGTATAATGTTTGTGTTTCATTTCATTTACCGCTTTTCGATTTGAGGTAGAGAATTACTGTTCGTAAGTTTGGCCTAACATAACATTTTCTCATTGTTTCGCTTCTAATCTAATATAATTAATATGCGGACCTTGGTTGTTCCGATTTTGGTGTTCGTTTGGAAAAAAATGTTTTTCAAATATACCTATAAAAGTGTTTAACCAAAAGATTTAAAAAAAATTATAGGTGTAACAAATTACAAAAATAAATAGTTTGATTGATATTTCAGAACCGCTATTTTCGGGTAGAATATGAAATTCGATATCCGTTATAGCTAATAATCTACCCATAAACAATTTTCTCCAAGTTTGTTTCCTATGGAAAGCGATAAATATTTTTTTTTTTTGCAAAAATATGATACTTAAGTAGGTATGTGAAAATTAATTTACCCACAGAACGTGGGTCTTTAAAAAAGACTAAATCAAAGATTGCTTTGATTACATAAACGTACGTCGCATCCGTTTCCATAAATTAATAAATATGCTGTGTTAGTAATGTCACGCAGTGACAAATGTTTGGCATTATTGGTCTTTGTTTGTCAGTTTGTGATGGCATAGATGCCGTTTTCGATAGAACAAAAAGGCAGAATGGTGGAAATCTACTTCAGAAATGGTCAAAATGTTACTTATTGTAATATTTTTTAGTTTATTATAGGCTCTTCTAAGAGTTCCATTTGTGTTTTATTATGCTTTTGTTTATGACATCAAATGGCAAATCGAACATGACATTACAATATTAGGAGAAAATATAGCTAAGACATACGTTTGAAAAATCATAGCCATTTTTTATTAACGGTTTTTTTTTTGAGGACCCAATATAAAAGTTTATTATTTTTGAAGTACGTCCTAAAAGGTAATATTTCTTATAATTTATTTTTACTTTTTAGCACGTAACTTTGGTCTAAAATTGAGTATTATCGGAAACCAAAATAACCCCGAACATTAACATTAACAGCTACTGAGTTTTCGCTTGGTAGTAACGACTTAATATTTTAATTAACTCGCCATTATCTTCTCAGTGGACACTTTCAACGGCACAAACCTACATTTCTGGCGATTAGATAGAAGGCAAATGGGAGCCTATTTGTGCATTGCCAGCAACGATGTTCCGCCGGCAGTCAGCAAGCGAATCGCCTTGAATGTCAATTGTAAGTTAAATTATTTAAATTATTTCGAATAGTAGGTAATTGATGAATTTGTTTAAAGTATCTATTATAAACAGAAGGTTGGCATTCAGGTTAAAACAAAAAAATAGTTCAAATTATGTTATTAAAAAGAGAAAAACTCTAAATCGTAATTTAAATTAGAATAATCTCAACCTCAAAGCCATTTGTTTCAAAAGTTCACCTATTTTATGTTGATATACCCTTGCCTTGAAGACAGTTTGTGTCACCTTCTCTTGAGTAGAACATTGTTTTTGGAATCAGTGGTCTCTGACAATATTTGTTTGGAAACCGTTCCTGTTAGTTAGGGAGACGACCGCATTTTTCTTACCCCGATCGAGTTATGTGTCGACACTATTATCAATATATAGTATTATGTGAATCTATTAACCGGTATTGCTGCCTGAAAGCAAATGCTGCCGGAAATATCTTTTAACAAATTATTAACAAATTGAAAAAAACGTAACACTACCCCCATCGAGTTATGCCCTAAGTAGGGTATCAGATTGAAGGTCTCGATGTCCCCTATCTAAAAAGTCGATCCTGCCTCGTGAGAACTTGCCGGAAAAGGGTGGCAGGGCAGCTTATTGGGGCAAGGACCCGCGGTCTCAGCTTTGACACCTATCAAGTTTTACCCTGAATGATGTGTCAAATTAAAGGTGTTAATAAGTTGATTTAAGCTCTCTTCGCACAGAAATCCCAAACCAGAAGGAGTGAATTCCATTGGTTGAAACTAGTTTCCTGACTGTTTCCAACCAATGAAATTCGCTCTGACTGGTTTGTGATTTCTGTGCGAACAGACCCTAAATCAACTTATTGATACCTTTAATTTGACACATCATTTAGTGCAAAGCTTGATGGGTATCAAAGCAGAGACCGCGGGCCCTTGCCCCAATAAGCTGTCCTGCCACCCTTTTCCGGTAAGTTCTCACGAGGCAGGATCGACTTTTTGGATAGGGGACATCGAGACCTTCAATCTGATACCCTACTTAGGGCATAACTCGATGGGGGTAGTGTTACGTTTTTTTCAATTTGTTAATAATTTGTTAAAAGATATTTCCAACAGCATTTGCTCTCAGGCAGGAATACAGGTTAATAGATGCACATAATACTATATATTGATAATAGTGTCCACACATAACTCGATCGGGGTAGGAAAAATGCGGTCGTCTCCCAGACTATGTATCTTTTTTATTCTTATTACGTTTTTCCTTTCCATGTTCGTAGTGGAAATTCGTTTGCGGTAAATCCTTCGGAAGGAATTGCTCGAAAACAATTGTTCGGATCGGCAATTCCTCGAATAAATAATTGCTCGAATTACAATTCCTCGATTAAATAATTGCTCGAAAGTTCGCGGTTCAATTAATACTCAAAAATAAGACAGGAATTCTCGAAGTATCGAGTAGTATCGACTATGAAACGCGACACGTATACTTGAGGCTGAGTTTTGTTCAAGGCGGATATTACCTGCCTAGGAAAAATACAAAGAAAGAGCAAATTTTAACAAAATCACATTACCAAAATTATGCAAATTAGAGGTTAAGGTAATAGGTAGGTACTTGAACCCCCGTAAAATATACAATCAACCAAAGTAACTAACAATTTAAAGGCTTGTTTAATTTACATATATTTATATTTAGGAGTTACAAAAATATGTATCCATAATTCAAGACGATTATGCAAATAAGAGGGGTCCTTAGCTTTATTATTCTAAGGTAATAGGTACCTACTTGAATTGTAAATATGATCTATATCAATCCATTTCAGGTATTTATATTATTCATTCACTTATTACTTCTATTTTAGGAAAAGCCCATACTTCCTAATTACTTTTTTCTACGAAAGAGATCTACCATCACCCATTTCCTCACCTGCAGGTATTTAAAAGGGAAACTGAAAATCATTTTTGTCAGTATTAGTTAATTTTTCAGTGAGAAGTTTACGTACTTAATTAATTATGGAATTTGTCCAAAGCGAGAAAGGGAATAATAAACTTTTCGTAGAAGGTTATTTATTTATTAAAGACAAGCAAGCCAATGGAAAAGACTATTGGAAATGTGAACATTCCAAATCAAAAAAACTGCAAAAATCGTGAATTACAGAAGAAAGAGTGATAAGAATAACAACTGGAGACCACAACCATGTAGCGGACGCAGCTTCTGTCGATGTGGGCCAATTTATGGATAGGGCCAGAGCAATGACGAAATCTTCAAGAGAATCACCGCATTTTATAGTCTCTACTTTGTCGCCTGATGTTAAAGAGGGTGCCATTGGAAAACTGCCTGCGATTAGTTCTATAAAACGGACAATAAGAAATGTTCAGATGCGAGAAGAAACAGGATCAGTACTACAAGAGCTTGGTGGGAGCCCCAAAACAATTCTGAAAGGATAAGGCAAGGAGTGCTGCGTTGCCAAATTAACCTCAAAGTATATTATTTTGTTTGGGTTAGATTTTCCTAGCAGGTGCGGACAATGTTTATTGTATAACGAGTAACGAAAACAGCAGTTTTAAAAATATGTTGGTAATGTTTTCAAGTTACAGAAAATGATTTTTGACGAGAATTGTTTATTTTTCAATAGTCAGAAAAAAACTTTTTGCAGATGCTAGTTTGTTTGTGCAATGAAAGATTTGGATTTTGTTGGAATTGTCAACATTTTTATACAACCGTAAACAGGATTGCTCATCCCAATAAGGCATACGTTCACCTTGAGCAGGCAGGGTCTGCGAGTGACGTCGCCTCAGATGCTAATAGTGATGACTTCACCCGCAGACCTCGACGGAAGGCTTGCGATTCAGGCTGTATTCGTTTTTTGGATTTTTTCGTCGATTTTAAATGTAGAAAAGGTAATTTTAACGTTTAGGAATTTTACTCCAAGAGTTGAGGTATGCAGCTGACATAGCAGCTGGCAGACACTTTTAGCTCAAAAAGCAGTCCTACTAGGGATTTGAAAACACCTGAAACTGAGTCGATCCATTTTTTTCTAACGAATGTGCGGAAAAAAAACTTTTGGCATGCACAAAGAGTAATCTTTCCGCACACCCTATCTTGAGAAAAATTGTGTTCCTTAAGCCTAGTACTCATGACCGCGAAATTCGCTCTTTTTTTGACATTGCTGCGACAATTTGACGTTTGATTCACGCATAGAACGTCAAATTGTCGAAGGAATGTCAAAAAGAGCGAATTTCGCTGTTATGACTACCTACTAGGCTTAACACTTGCGAGAAATGGTATTTCCCGCACTTGTTAGAAAAATAACTATTTTTTTCCGAATTTGATGTGAAAAAAATTTTCCGCCCTATAGGAGAACAAACGAGTTTCCAGTTCCACTCCAACCAAAAGGCAGTGCTTCAAAATACAAAATTTGTAGTTCCAATTTTATTCAATTTTCAATTTATTCAATTTTCAATTTATTCAATCATAAGCAGTATAATCAATCAAAAAGGTTAGTAGAGTCCGCGTCAAGAGTAAAAAGTACGGTGTCGTCATATGCGCACAAACCCAATTTTGAAGACTAACCGAACTATCATATCGATGGGTGCTGCTGCCACCAAGCACGTGGTTCATTGTCGTACGGCCAGCAGGCCTATTTATTTAGTTTATTTTGTATCCAAGTTTTGTCTAAAAAGATACCCCGCTGCTGGTTTCAGCTCACGACCGAGGTCACGGCAGACAGCGAGAGATCGACGAGGGAGAGAGATCCGACCCGCTTCGCGCAGCTTTTCATGTCGTCACCGTAGTCTTTACTGCTGACGCGGACTCTATATTCTGTGTTCACTCAAAACTCAAAAGGCAGCGATAATAATAAACAACTGTGGTGGCGTGGCGTGGCGCTGATTCTAGTCCAAACATGAAAATGCCAAAAATTGCAACGTCGCATATAAATTGTTTCGGGGCTACCACCAAGCTCTTGTGATCAGTACTACCTCAACGTTTAGAAGATATTGTTATCCCTGAAGATCTAAAAACACCTCTATCAGCTGAAAATGTTCTTCTTTTTGATTCTGGACCTATCGACTCACGTATTCTCATTTTTGGAATAAAAAATGCTTTGGGGCCTTTAAAGAGATCGGAAAACTGGTACATGGATGGCACTTTTAAAGAATACCAAGTTTGTTTTATCAGCTATACACTATTCATGGGCTAAAAGAAAACATTTATCCGCCATTAGTATTTGCTCTTCTGCCCAATGAGAGGGAAGTAACATATCGCGGGTGAGCTGGCAATACCTCCTATGTTATCTTGCCTCACTTTTCAGGACGTCATAAAAACTATGTAACTCTGGAATGGCTTGCTAGATTGCTTTTTTATTTGGAATGATGATAAAATAGTACTCAAGAATAAGATTTTTATGATAGTTGAGAAAAAATTGTAACACCATTGGTTTTAAATGCACTTAGGAGCGATTGCTTTTATAAAGTTGGAATATAGGACATTATGCTCTCGATTTTTGCTATAAAGGGAGTTATTGAAATGAAGGAAAAATTGAGCTTACATTAGTTTTATTATTTTCAAAAATAACTCAGGATTGCATTTCTAAAAATTCTAAGAAATATAAAAAATATTCAAAAGTAGGTACATAGATACAAAAAAACAAAATAAAAAAATATCCAAATTCAGTAAAATAAACTGAGATTAACACAAAATAAAAAAACATTCAAATTCAGTAAAACAAACTAAGAGTAACACAACACAACAACAAAAACTACATCTTATTTGGTATACAAAATATTGTCATAAAATGCATGAGTGTCTTTAGGCAGTACCGATTTAAGTTCCTGTAG